TTTCATGCAACTGGTGCTGGCAGTACAGTCACTGCCAACCCGTGTTACAGAGACAGACATTCCCCAGGAAACCTTACAGGGCATGAAGCCCACTCTGAATCCAGTCCCACTTATTACACAAAATCAAGCTCTCTGCACCATCACAAAAATCACATTATACACAAATACACCACATTCACATACAGTTTAGTTTATCTGTCAGGAACAGACATCATATGGCCTTCACACCGGTAAACAATTACTCATAGAAGCCTTAAATATTTGGTGACTAAATATTTATAACAACCTAACAATTGCCTAACATGTCCCTCAATTAGTGTACTTCATGGTTTTTTCAAATTACTCCTATAGACAGAACTTAACTTCCTCCAAGAAATAAAGCAGAAAAACTAAATTCTCCAGGAGAGAAGTTCTTTTTACCTTCCCAAAACCAACTTTTTTGGGGGAGTTTGTCATGACACAAAGCAAATCATTAGCAATAAGTAAGAACAGAACTAAATATGCTGTCTGGAATCAAAGCTACAAAAACCAAAACTTACTTCCACAGTTTCCTTGAACTAGAAAACATATTTTCTTTGGAAAAACAAAAGTGCCATAGTCCTTCTCACAAACACTGAACAGTGAAGGAAGGCCAAGAGTTTAAATGAAATCCATATGAACTTGGTTCCCAAATGACTGGGACACTGATGAGAAACTGCATCTCCCCAGAAACTTTTCAGCATCCTTCACAGCCACCAAAAGTTAAAATCAAGGCTGCATTACAGCAGAACTTAACATACAACCAGTTACTACTGACCTGGAAGTTTTTTGGTCAAGTCAGTGACAACCATCATCCTAAATTATTCTGGACAACAAATTCTACGAGACCTGAAATATGAGGCTTAGTATTTGATGCAATAAGGCCTGGTTTGGCTCTTACAAAAACAACTGATACTAAAGGCTATGTTTAATTCAGATGACTTGAAAATAGAGAACACTCAGAAGAACATAACTTTCAGTGAGAGAAAAGCATAAAGATATTAAAAACTGCTGTGTCTAAAGGAAATCTCCCTGCCACAAGCTCACTGAAGTACAAACGTTACTTGGCACTAGTTCTTAGTACAATACTAAGTGCAATACCACGGCACTAGTTCTTGGTACAACAGCCCATGAGCATATCTCAGCATATCATGCAAATTCTACATAAAGGCCTTCACACTTAGAGGAGTTTTAATTGTGCATATTCCAATATAACTCTAAAATACTGTGACCAGATGCACCAGTCCATCCCACAAAGTAGGATGCAATAACCACAGAGACCAAAATACAGGTAGCCCTCCACCCACTTTCATCTAAACACAAATGCAGAATCTATTTCCAGTCCCTGTCTGCTGCTGCTGAATAGCCTGAAGCACAACAAGTTCAACTGAATTTGTCACACTGGAGATTCTGAATTGGACAGTGGCCCACAACACTGAGAAAGGTGCTTGCTGTGCTAGCAGTATAAGCTTTTCTCCTATTTTTATCAACAGCTTCTCAAGAGGTTTTTAAAGCCATTACATTGCTAAGAGTACAACAGCAGACATCATGTATATTCAAATGAAATCAAACTGATGACAGCTTAAGTTCAAGCTGGAGAAATAACATAACAGACTCAGGGTTAGAGAAACACCCACTCTGTTACTCTTGGTACAGGACTTCCAACAGGAAGGCAGACACGATTGATGGGACCCTCTTCAGCTCCTCCTCCTCCACCCCAGTCCATGCCATGATTCACACCCCAAGGACATCTACACCCAAAAGTCTTCTAGGCCACTGAAGTTCATCAGAAGTGAACTAATTGGAAAATAAGAAAATTCATAATAGTTTTCCCTTAGTTCAGTATGGCAGACAATGAAAAGGTGCTTCTTGCTTTCTTTTGGTGATGGTTTGTTGCTTACCCTGTAATCATCCCTCCCTGAATGAGATTAAAATCCAGCTGTAAACTGATTACAGTAAATACCAAGAAAAAAATGTCAGCACCTATACAAAACAGCTGTTACGTTACACTATAAACATATGATCAATAAATCCTAGAATAGTCCAGGTTGGAAGGAACCTTCAAAAACCATCTGGTTTCCCATGAGAGAAGGGAGTCCAGATGAGATAAATTATCTAGCACCTTGTCCAATCATACCTTGAAAACCTCCAGTAATGGAGACTCCATCATGTCCCCAAGGAAATTTTCCCAGTGACTGACGGTTCTCACTGAAGAAAAAAAATCTTATATCAAGTGAAGCCTCTCCTGCTGCAACCTGCAGCCATTGTCCCTTGTCTTCTCTACGTGGTTCCATGTGAAAAGAAAGCCTCTATCTTCTTTGTACCCATCCCTTAAGTAAGATTCAACATGTTTGCTCTGATTCTGTTTTTATATGAAAGTTTGATTCAAAGTTTGAGAACCACTGTCTTACCCTTATCAGTAAACTCATGAGCAACTATGACTCCTCAAGGTTCCTCATCACCAGCACATCCACCTGGAATTTCTATGTTTCAACACACAGCCATTCTAGAATTAGGAGGCTGAATCAGGCTGCTCAGCAAAAGAATTAGTGAACTATTATGAAACTGTGGGTTACTCCCAGAGACCTCACAGACCATCACCTGTAAGCTTTCTAGTTTGTTTGTGAAACATGGCACCAAAAGAGCTTTTACCTTCATCCTCATAAAGCTTCGCTGCACCAACACACCTGGTCACAGAAGTACATATGAATATTTCATTATTATCTCCCAAGAGCCTAAAAGATTATAAACGACCAATGAATGAGACCAGACTTGCTGTCCAGCAGGCAAATCACTTTCCTTCCATCAAATATATTTAAATGTTCAGCCACCAGAGACATTACCCATTTCATTTTTCAGCCCTATAACATATCCTTATAGAGGATATATTAAACTTTAATCTGCATCCTTAAAGTCAAAACTCTCATTTTGTCAACTGTTACCCTGCAATGTCAGCAAATTAACATCCCAATTAATTTTTTCAAGACCTATTCTGTACTAATTTGCCAATCATTAGCCTTTTTTTTTATAAGAAAACACTAGGGTGCTATTATCTCCATATTTTAAAGTGTTTCCCTCACAAAAAAAATTCTAAAACTAAATCCCAAACATTAATTTCTACAGTGAAAACTTTAAATGACAAAACCATTTAAGCCAAATAACCACTTAGTTCTGAGTTTCTTTCCCATGCTACCACCACTGATTTTAGACAGAAGTCCCTTTCCAAAAAGGGCTGCATGTTCCACTTCTGTATGTTCTAGGCTCTTTTCACTGGGTTTTAAAAGTGTATTCAACAACTTCAACCAGGAATTTTCCCTGACTAGTCACGTGGACACAGGCGTGGGGCACCTCTGGTGTTTTTCATTCACGAAGACTAAACAAACACTGTTTATATGGGGCAAGGATCATATTTAATTGGCCACCATTTATGGATGAGCCCAGTGTTAACGCTGAACAAACAACTGCATGTGCCCACTTAGCACAAAAGGATCCCAATTCAAGAACAGACACAAACGGAACTCTACAACAACAAAACAAACAAACAAACAAAAAAATCAATCTTGAAACTGCAGTTTCACCACTTCTTGAAGGTTGTCTGCTGCTGCATTGCACCTTTGCCCGTGAAACCAGGCTCATTCAACTTGCAGCAGTCTTAAACACAAGGACCAAAATGCCTCAAAAGTGACACTTTCTTTAAATTGCTCTGTCCTCACAATACCACAAAAATTTCCTGACATAGAACAGGCACGCAAAATTTACTTTCTTATCGCATAAAACTGACCTGAACCACAAAAATGAGCACAAATATTTTTGTTAATTAACTTCAATATTGCAGCATATTTAATATTATTAAAGCAATGACCAAGATATTAAAATATCTGCTGTTTTACCAATCAGTGCTGTCCTTCTGAGCCTTCTTCCCAAAATATACTCCTAAATCTGTGAATTTCTTTGTAACATTTACCTTTAGGCATTGTATGATTTACCATAGGAATTATAATTGTGATTCTGTACTTTGTTGCCCATCAGAGGAACCGTGGAGCATGGTCTGACACTGAGGTGAGCGAGCAGGGGATGATGAGAAGAGCCACGACTTTTCTTGCTGACAGCTTAGACTAAATCACCACAAACTTTAGTACAGACAAGGACAAGTGGGTCAACTGGCAACTCTGAGCAGCCTTTCTCCAAACTGCTATTCCTAGTGAAAGCAAGGCTCAAAGCAGCAGAAAGAGCCATGTTCCCATAACTGTATCTCTCTTGCAACCCCAAGTGTGACCCTGGCAAATCTTTCTTTTAATCACTCAACCAAATGCTTTCATTTTAAAGTTTGCTTTATATACCACTCAGAACCACAGAGGGTTTTGAGCTGTCATTCAAAACGCTACGTGTAGAGGTGGCCTTAGTCAAGCAGAACCCCCATGAAACACCTGAAAGTCCTGGGGTCCAGCACTGACTTCATTTTACACTTTTCAAGTGAGTCCCTTCTACTTCTGAACAGTCTGTAAAATGAATTATAACCGCACCCCAGATCAGATATATGTTACTCAAAGACATCATACGCTGTACCTATAAAAACTATGGGAACGAACACCCACGTGTTCGTCGCAGGTGTTCTAGGAAAGACTAGACCCTTAGTGCCACGGTGGTGCTGGGTCACGGCTCGGACTCGCTGATCTCAGATCTCTTTCCCAGCGCCGCTGATTCTGCGAACGCCATCAGGAACAACACACCCATCCCCCGGAGGCCCCGTGAGCGGCGAGGCCGCGCTCCCCCAGGCCCTGCCCCGGCCAAGGGGCCGCACCAGCTCCCACCGCCGGACCTGCAAGAGCGGCAGCGGCGCCCGCGGGGCCCCCCGGAGCCCCCGAACCCGCCCCGCCGGCCCCGCCGCCCTCGCTCCACGCCCACCCCAGACCCCAGAGGACCCCCCGGCTCCCGCACCCCGGGCCGGCCCGGTTCCCGCGGCGAGGCCCCCGCGCACCCACCTGCGCCTCCTCCCAGCGCGGCAGCCATGGCTCTGCGCCCGCCACAGGCGGCGGGTCGCGGCAGCGCCCCGGCGCCACCCGCCGGAGGGGCGGGTGCCGGTGAGGCCGAGGGAGGTGCCGGGGAAGGTGGCGGCGAAGGGCCCGGGGAAGGGCTCGGGGAGGGCCGGTCTCGGCTCCCGGCGGGTCCCGCTCCCGCCGCCCGAGAACAACAAACTAGCACAACATGGCGGCCGCCGCCGCTGTCGCCGCCGCGGTGCACCCTGGGACGGCGGCGGACCGGGGCCCTCCCCCCCGCGGGGCGGGGCGGGCTGGCGGCGCGCGCCGCTGGTTGGTCAGCCCCGCCCACGCCGGGTCCCGCCGCGCGTGCGCCGCTGGGAGGGGCGGGGCGCGGGGAGCGCGTGCGCGGGGGCGGGGGCGGCGTGAGGGCGGAATGGCGGCCGGGACTGGGCAGGGAAAGGAGGGAGGAAAAGGAGGGGGGGATCAGCTGTCCAGGCTGCGTGAGGAGGGGGACGAGCAGGGCCTTTACCTGCCCGGGATAAACAGTGGGCAGGGGGAATGGGAGGGAGAGGCTCACACACCTCCCTCACGAGGGTTTGCAGGTGTCTCTCTCACCCCCAGCGTGGGTTGCTGCTCGCACCGCCTCTGGAATGCCCGGCTCGCGTAGAGTCACAGAGTCACGGAATCAGTTAGGTCGGAAAAGACCTCTGAGATCATCGAGTTCAACCTTTTACTCACCCCGACCACGTCAACCAGACCATGCCACTGTGTGCCGCATCCAGTCTTTCCTTGAACGCCTCCAGGGACGGTGACTCCACCACCTCCCCGAGCAGCCCACTCCAATGTCTAATCACACTTTCTGTGAAGAAATTCCCCTGGTGTCCAACTTAAACCTTCCCTAGCCCAGCTTAAGACTGTGTCCTTTTGTCCTATCACTGGTTACCTGGGAGAAGAGACCGACCCGCACCCAGCTACAACCTCCTGTCAGGGAGTTGTGGAGAGTGAATAAGGTCACCCCAAGCCTCCTTTTCTACACCCTAAACACCCTCAGCTGCTTCTCACAGGCCTTGTGGCCCAGACCCTTCACCAGCTTTGTTGCCCTTCTCTGGACATGTTTCGGCAATGTTCTTCCTTAACTGAAGAACCCAGAACTGGACGTATTGGGCTGCATTGAGGCTTCATTAGGTTGTGGGTCCAGCACGAACACCCAAGTTCAGCTGCCTGTTGGGTGAGAAAAAACCCATGAGTTGGTGGGATTAAAATACACCACGAAAGGAATGGTTTGGGGAGTGTTACATAGATCTGTGCTCACCCATCTTTTAAGGCCTGAGTGTGCAGGGGAGTAACACGTGTATAAACTGAACTAAACCAGTTCAGACCATGTGGTTCTTGCGTCTCCACTCAGACCTCACCCAAGCACACACTGTACAGGTTCAGTGTCACAACTTGCTCAGCCTAGTTCACTGCAGGCTGTGAGTCCTCCTCTGCTGTCACACTTCCCTCCTGGCTGCTTGGCTGCTTGCTCCCCTCTCCTTTCCAAAGGATCCGGTGGTCCTGTGCCTGCCAAGCATATCAGTTTGGATCGCGGATCCCACAGAAAATCGATTACCGAAAAAATCTTCCTTTTGAGTTTCCTTCCTGCCTTCTCCTAGTTTTAAAAGGGGAAATTAGGACTTGTGGCATTCTGCATAGACCAGGTTAAGCACAATATAAAATTATGCCACTGCTTGTGAAGAAACCGGATCTGATCTAAAACAGTTTAACGGAGCCTACTATAACAAGGCTAGTTCGAGTAAATGGCAAAACTTTCCCAGGTGGACAAGTCCTCACGGAAATAATTAACAATGTTAGTATTTAAATTATCGGCGTTATCTGATTAAACCCTCGCTATGAGAATAGGGAAGTTCTCATGTCACTTTGTTCTCTGCTCCCTGCAGACTTGTCTCTACATTGCATTTGATCTCATTTTTCAGGTTTCCTTCAAAACTACAGAAGCTAGAGATTTATTCTGTATATACTCCTACTATCTCACAGCCAAATTCTGTCCTTAATTTAGGAAATAGACCATTGGTAGGGGATGCTTGCTGATAATTTAATATGTAGTCCATCAGTCCAGTTCTGATTGCCTGACATAGGAGCGATGAGTGAATACAACTGTCAGTGGTAAAAACCTATGATGATTTCAGTGGGGCCAGGATTTTCAGCTGCTCTTTGGTATTGATCTTTTTTAGTGAAGCTGGTTTGCAATGCAAAAGGGTTTCCTGGCAAGGCAGGGAGTTTCCTGGACCCTCTAAATGCAGGATGGAGGACAAGTGTGAGGGGCGAGACTCAGTCAGTTGCAGCTGCAGGCTGTTACAATTCACAGCTCTCTCGTCATAATTCTCTGTATTCCGTCTGTTTGAGGTTGGGAAATTAAGTGTTAAACATAAGCAGTATTCACAATGAGCAGCTTTTGTGACATTCAGATACGTAGAAGAGTGTATTTTATGGGTCTTTTATGCTCTATATTTTTGCTCACTTTAAGATCTAATTTGATTGCTATGACTGACACTCCAAACAGAAATCAATTTACTGTTTGCCTAACACACCAATCCAATGTTAAAGAGGAATAAGAGAATACTTAACTATTATTTTGTTAATATACGGACACTTCAGCCATTTTGCACAGCTCTGGTACAATAAAAGTGACCATTCTCAGATGTCTGAACTTCAGTAGGCGTGGAACAGGGACCTAAACAGTAATGACAGAGACAGGTATGGTGACTCTGCTCACCTTCACTCAGGACTTTGTACAAGTTTTCAAATTCCAGGAGCTATAGTTGCTCTGGATTCTGTATAAAAAGCTCCAAATTTTTCTCAGTAGTACTTACCATGTGCTCGTGCCTTTTTAATAAGTTAACATACTTGCAGCCTCTGGAATCCATGGATTAAAATTACTTGATGTGAACTAGTCATCATCAGTTTATTAAATACTTTTGAAAATTCTGCATAAATAATATATTTGCCCGTGAGTCTTCCAAAGCAAATCCACTTGCAGTTGGGAGTGCAACAGATTGTCTTGCAAGGCGATTAAGTGAAAAACAGAGAGAGAACTCAAGATCCAGTAATCCTGGTTCTGTACTCACTGCATTACTGGGGCAGGTTGCTTTGCATCTCCTGCCTCAGATTTCCCTCTCTAAGCTGAGAAGAATAGTGCTAAACTTCTTCTTTTAAGCCTTTCAGTAAAAATTGTTGTGTCCTAACTGCTGTACATTAAGCTGTTTCCACAGCAATAGTCATTATCACTTTGATTTACACTGGATGTTTGTTTTGTTTTGGTTTTTTTTTCAAAATACTTAGTAGCTTATTTTTGGAGCAGGCACAATCAATTTTTTTAGCTTTTTTATATTTAGATCATTATTTATTTTTGCACACCGTCAAATGGTTAAAAATCACTAGTCAGGAATCCAGTACAGCAGCCTTTTGAGTTTAACTCCTTTAAACACTTGAAATTAATACGAGGATATTAAGAACAGTGTTACCAACAGCAAATGGTTCCCAGTTACCTGGAGAAAATGTGCTTCTAACTTATTTTTTTTAACCACAGCTACCTCTTTGTGAGCGTTCTTTCTAGTCTGGCAAAACCAGACTGCGTTTTCATAGCGTGACAGGCTGGCCCAGATGGGAGGTCCAGTCGAGGGTTTGGCTCATGACCTCCTCGTGTTGAACTTCTCAAAGTGACACCCAACTCCGAGGCACCGTTTTCCATTCAAAGTTAGACTTGCCTTTGGATGAATTCCTCCAAACCAGACAATAAGCAACTCTTGGATTATTTCAGCAACATCCTGCAATGCAGTAAATGTTCTTTCACATCTGACAGGAGATTCTGGATTTAAAATGTACAAATGAGGGGTGCAAAAGCAAATTCAGACTCTCGTAGGTGTCACTGGGCCTGATCTATGATCTGATGGCAGTGACAGCAGTCATAGGAGGCAGCAGTAACTCTTTAAAGATAGACACAGGTGAAAGATGTTTTCTCTTTGAGCAAATTCCCTTGAAAGGCAGAGGTAGATTAGGAGGTGGGAAAAACTTAAAAACTAATAAGGGTCTTACTTAAGAAAAGAGAACAGTATGAGGATTAATACAAAGTATATGGAAAACGCTGGTGTGATAAACTTTCAACAGAAAACATTGAGTGTTACAGCCCCATGACCATCTGTAGTTTCAGAGCTGTGGACAGTTTCATGTGTACCAAATTTTGATATCACTGTAATTTTTCTTTCTGTTTCCACCTGCATTCCTGTTACATATTTATTCCCTTGTTGCAGTTTATCTGCCTTGTTGTCTGCAATCCACTTGATGCATCTTTTTTCAACTGTAATTTCTTCAGAGCGGTGTGACCCTGGGACCCCTGAAACAGCTGCAGGGGTGGAGAACAGGAGAGCCTGTGAGCTGAGAAATGGGCTGAACAGGCAATGTCTCAAGTGTGTTATTAATGTGTCACGTGTGGAGTCCCTAAAAAGCTGGTCAACCACCAAAGATCAAAATCTGAACAGAACACATATCTTCTTGTAGTGTAAAATATAAAAATTATTACCATCTCCAACTGGCTGCAGGGAGGTTTGGGCTGTACTTTGGCTTCTGAACTGAGAGCAGCACTCAGAAGCCTGGGTATTGCTCTGGACCTCAGTGTTTGCAATACATTTTAGGGAACTTGAGAAAAGAAATCAAGAAACAACGAAGGAATCCAAGTGTTAAATATATTACAGTGTTTTGTTTCTTTTTTTTTTTCAGTCCGGATACTGGAAGTCTTAATGACTAAGCTTTGCTTTGTTTCACCAGGAAGCCCATCTGGTGTCAGGGACAGCAGGGGAACTGGGGTGAAGCTGACAAATGTAAGGCAGTCCTTCCCTTCAAGAATGACTCTATATAGTAGAAAATGTCTAAGATCCCCCATTCTTAGGTAAAAGGAGTGGTACCCCATGCTAAACATATCAGAATAAATGAAGCTTAGGAGTGTTTCCCAAGATTTCCTGACAAGGAGCCAATGTACAGCATTGTTGGCCTTGCCCAAATGCTGAGCTTTGGGAAGGTCTTGCTTTGTCTGGACACAGGCCAGGCTGTAAAAGAGCAGAAGGACACGTGAGGGCTCCAAGCAAACCTCAGAGCATCACAAGGAACCCCTGTGGCTCAGATTCTTGTGGCCCATACCTGTTAGCAAAGGCCCATGCTCAGTGGAGCCCCACTGAACGTAGAGACATTGTGCAGAGGTACCAAATGTCAGCTATCGTACAAAACTTCCAGATCAGAGTTTATGTTCCTGAGAACTCCTCATGCCAGAAGGCTATAATCCTGTTAAAAGCCTCTGGGAACTACTGCAATGCAAATAATAGTAGCAATAATTAGCTCTGCTTTAATTGATACTGTGTATTCCTCAAATGTCAGTGAAAATTTACTTTGCTAAGCCAACAACTTCTCCCCTGGAACTCTGCTGACTTTACCAGAATTACACGAGGGGTGAGTTTGGATCATTGTAGGTTCCTGGCATAAATTATCAGCTGTTGATTCCTTGCCCTTTAAAACTTGGCAAGCATACAAGAAGAGTTTGCCAGACATGCAAGAACTAGGTCTATGCATTTATGGGGAAATCCTCCGGGACCTTGCACAGAAAGGAGTACAATTTGCTAGAAGTACCCAGCTGTGAAATCCAAGAACTCCTGCACACTAACACAAGCAATTTAGAGTGTATTTAGCCTGGCATCAATACCAGTGGTTCCTGGAAGCTGTATGGCCTCAGCTTTATTGAAAGCATGAATGTGATAGCAACAAGCCCTGTAAATGTGTGGAGATGCTAAATTTACAGAATAGTCGTGGTAGGGATGATTTTGGTTTGGCATACTCCTGTTTATCGCAGTGGCTGGGAGTTGTCTCCGCTTAACATTGAGAGTGTAGGTCTGAGCACATCATTGGCATAAATAAGTAAAGATGACACACTTCAGAGCACTCAGCATCTTCAGTGTGAATGTCCTCATCTGGATCTTTGTCTTACTGGGCATCCAGGAATTTTGATGCTCCATCCATCCTTCGTGAACAACTTCTGCCCTGTATCACTGCTACATCTGTGTGCTCAGACACTCCTTGGGGATCCTTTCTAAGGGAAGGATAAATGTTCCCTACCTCTAGTTGTCCAAAGCTCAGATGCCTAAGCTAAACTCATTGTGGGAACCGTCTTCATTCAGTTACCTTAGATGGACTGAGTGGCAGCTCTTAGCTTTGGGAGACAAATCTTGATCAAAGTGAAGGGAAATAAATCCCAAGCAACGAGTCACTATTTTGATAGTACCGGGAAAGATTAGTGCCAGTAGCAGATCTTGAGTCTAAAATTTTCCATACTTACCAGGAAAAGACTCCTGGCTTGCAGAGTTCCAGCCCATATTACAGGACCAAACAGTTTCTGTTTGCTGGGCCTAATGGTTAATGGGTTTAGGCTGTAATGGGGTCCTTCAGAGACTCAGAGATACAATGCACCTGATTTAATGGGTTTTCCATATGCACAAAAGTAGCATTGCCAAACAGACTCAGCAACAGATCACTCTAGCACATTACCAATAAGCCAATTAGTGAAATGAAGCAGTGCAAGTATTAGGCTGCTTTATGCAAATAAGTTTGTGTGGAAAAGAGAATCATTTGAATTGGGTTAGGCATTCAGGAAGACCTTGCCAGTATAATATGTGGTGATAGTTGCTATAGCTGTTATTGATCGGTTTCCTTTTTGGCCCCTGATATGTGTGGATGTAAATGCAATGAGTGATGTGAACCTTAATGAACACAAGGATGGTCAGGATTTAGACCTTATCATGTGGGGTTTTTTCAGTAGCTATGTTTGTTCCACAGTTTTCACAACATCTTCTAACATTAACTTTGGTTGTATTATTTTTCCTTTGCAGTGATTGACAGCATCAGTATTTTATTTGGGCCAAAATCCACAATTTTTTCACATTCAGCTAAGTTTCTTACCAGGAAGAATGACAGAATGGCTTACATATCAAATCAGTTTCATTTGGGGACCTTAGTTTATCTAGCTGATCCAACAGATTCATTTATCACAGCCCATCCACGTTAAGCTGGGCACCTTTCCTGTAATGAGTTCCTGGCAGCCCAGGAGCACGTGATGGAACATGACCCATTCCAGCGGGCTCAGGTACAGGATAGAGATGCATTATCCAATGCAGCAGGGTTTGAAGTGCTATCTTGTATAACAAATTATTGACTTCATTGTACATAGTACTAGGATTTAATTAAGCGATAAGGCCCATCATAGTGGCCCTTTATCTAGCAGATAAGGATTTACCAAGCTTACCCAAGAGGTCTTTATCTGAAAGATAAGAAAAAGGTACATAAGGTGCCTTCCACTGTTTTTAAATCTTTAATTGAAAAGACCTTATTTTTTAAGTTCTAGGCTGTTGTCTTTTCTTCGTGGCTTAGCATTAAAGATTCAGATAGACTTTCATAAGGGAGGCTGTAATAGAGAAGAATGTTACCAGTGGCCTTCACTGGGTGAAATTAATAGGATTTATGTAGTTTTTATCCACAATGCACCACCTCTCAGCTGAAGTGGAAATTTAGCCTTTGATTCACAGGAGATTTTCCAGTGACTTCCTGATGCCATGGTCATGAAAGAGATTCATTCATCGCTGATTTCAAAGGGGTATAATTGTGATTATGTTGTAAAGTTTAGAAAAAAATGGAATTGCACAATAAAAGAAAATGAGGGAAGAAGATAATTTCAAGAAGTTCTTTTAATGACCATGTTGTCAACTAAGATTAATTATGCCTAATTTTCTGTCCTTTACCTATGTAAGCAGAAAACATATAAAGAAATTAGGGATAATGCAAAGAACTGGCACTCAGAATAAGATGAATACACAGGAAAAAAACAAAATAATATCACTGCTAATGCTCAGTGGAGAAAAACACAGAGGAAATTCCAGAGAAAGGAGAGAAGAGCATATGTTTTTTATGAGAAAGGCACATAAGGGCCACTGCATGGTTGAAAACAGGATCTTTGGATTTAGCAGATTTAATCTCTAATGTTACAGACACTTTTTAATAGAGTTCTTTCATAAAGGTTCAAGCTATTTTTAGAAGTAGCTGGGCTGTTGCCTTCACCTCCCTTAGAGGAAGCCTGTTATGCAACACCCTTACACTACTAATTAACTGGGATCTTCCAGTTTGCAGTATGGCTGTATCCCTGGCCTGTCCATACTTGTTTGTTCTTATGTGCTGATACTATCTTTTAGCATAAGTGACATTGCTTCCTTCCCAGTGTTTTCCCTTTCTATCCCTATCTAAGCCCATAAATCAGTCAGCCTTTACTACAGTACATAAACCAAGCCCCCCTTGGACCATTCAGTTCTTGCAGGTCCAGGAGTGACAACCACCAATCGACTCTTGTGCCCCTTCTGGGACCAGGGGCATATCAGACTTGCTGCTCATTCCACCTCAAGTTGTTTTGTGCATGCTCTGTGAAATTCTCCTGAATTTCCAGGCATCCAAGAACCTAAACTGCCACATACTAGAAATCCAGTAGGTTATTGCCCAAAGCAGTTGTCTACCACATAAATTGATAGTGTTGGCAGCTCTGCTTGTGAAAGACCCCCTGTTCCCCAGATTGTTAATCATCCTGCTCTGCACCTGTTCCAGCTTGAATTCTTCATGCTTGAACAGGGGCAGTAAAGCAGAGTCTGAAAGGATCAGATTGTATTAGAAGAGCTTGGAGCAATTCAAGCCAGGACTGAGTAGCAATTCTAATGAGAGATACCCTCCAGGTTACACGAGAGGCGAATTGCCTCGGCGGTGAGCGGAAGTTTGTAGTGCTGCTTTGAGCCTGTTTGTTCAGGAACCAAGGGATTTCATTTCCATTGTTGACAATCTGACACCTTTTATGGACAATTGATTCACTTTTTAAAAAACTATCTGGCATGGAAGCAATAAGTGAGTGGAAAGGTGTGAATTAAAATGTGTACACAGCTAAAGATGATTACTCAGATATTTGCTTAGACCTGAAATCCCAGATGTGAAGCTGGGATTATTCCCTCTTGCTCCAACTACCCTTTGGTAATTGCCTCCTGAGTAATTCTGCTGTGTCTTTTTTTCTTATTTATTTGCAACTTTGAAAACTGATTGAGCCTTCTGCCTCAGAGAAAACTAAAAGCACAGTCCCTCACTCTAATATACCCCATATAGAGTTCCCTCATCTTGGTGTAGCCTCTCATGCCTGCAAGTCTTTGAAACAGGTCTCTGCTGCCTCATGCTCTTGAGAAGCCAGTGGAGCTGCATCCACTGAGTTCAGCAGAATAATTTACCCACCACATACTTCGGTTTTTATTTCACTTTGTGTTTATAAGACTCAGGGAAGGATTTTACCTGAGTGCTGCTCACAGGCACTTCTGCTGTTCTCTTCTTTCCTGACAACTAGGGAACAAATTCAACACCCTTCACTTACATGTATTTCAACATGAAATTATTTTGCTTCATACATCTGAATGGTATCTTATAAAAAGGAATTTTTCTTCCCTCAAATCACACTCCAGTGGGAGCTGCCCCAATCAGCAATGTGTGTGCTCTCTCTCTCTCTCTCTGTAGTTGTTCCATTAAAGTAGTGTGAAAACTACAACTGTGTGTCCACTGTCATTCTGTATTAGAAGTCAGGGGTAGGGTAATGATATGCAAGGTTGATCCTTCTGTAATACTTTCCTTGGAAGTACAGTTCTGCCGTTTCTGCTGTCAGCCTGCATTTAGAGTGCAGAGAGTGCTGCATGACTTGAAAGCAGCAGTAGGCAATCCCCAGTCTAAACCTTAGATATTTACATATTTATGCTCACTTCAGCGTAGTAAATATGCTATGAATAAATCCTATTATGTTTGAAACTGTACTTACAGTATAATAAAAACACACAGTACAGTGGTGCGATCTCAGGTTTTCTTTTGGTGTCAATATGGGCATAAATTTATTAAATTACATATTGTTAACATTATATTCAGCTTCCAGTGGTGCTTAGAATACCTTGTAGACTGTGAGAAAATAATGAAGGAAAAGTCCTTTACTCTTTAAACAAGAATTGAAGAAAAAACAGTGTCTGTGGGTAAAATGGTTCTGATGGAAATGGGCAGTCCGTCAGGGGTGACTCTACACCTTTGTTATTGTTACTTTTGAAGTTGTGTGCATTGGAATGTGCCATGTAATGCAAGGGATTTTTTCAAAGGACATTGTCAGGTATTGCTGATACAACGCCAGGATGTTGAACATGTCACGACCTTATGTTGGTGCTCTGTTCTGGGGAAGAAATTGTTTGATATCTGCCAAAATTTCTCGGAGTTTCTGTTCTGGAAAAGATGGTGGGTTGATGCTTGGGTTTGCGTGGTCCCTCAGCAGTTACTGCAGCATTATGCTAAGATGAGGGATCCCTGGGAGAAGAGAAGCAATCTTTTTGTTTTACAAAAGCCCAGCCAGAACATCAGCTTTCTGTTCTGAGCCTTGCTACCAACCTTTTCCATGACCTTCCTCAAGACATGACACTTTCCTCTGCTTCCATTTCCTTCCTATCCTCCCTGTGTGTGTTGTATACTCTTCATGATACTATTATACTACTGAACTTTAAATGCTTTCATTATTTCAAAGCAATGATCTTTTTCTGTGTGTGTGCAAATTTTTAGCACCAAGATATCACCCAGAGGAGTCCTGAAGAAACCAACAGGCTGCTCGCTGTAGGAAGCTCTGTATTAGGCTCCACACTGATGGGGTTACGTCTTTGCTTTTACAGCTTGACCCTAAATCCACTGAAGTAGAAGAGTTTTACATTACCTCAGCACAGACAAGCCCCTAATGTTTGCAAAGAGCCTTTCACTAAAGCCAAAGATCAAGTTTTGCTCCATCTGCTAGATGGTGTATGAAGACTACCCATCTTAATTGGAATAGTCATAGGATTTTCCATGGACTATTTGACAGCATCCGTCTTGGGTTAAGCTTTCACATTCATACATGACCTGTATTACAGAGGGAACTTTCAGGCTGAGAAGCAAACTCAGAGGAGCTGAAAGTATAACAGTTTTGTGTATGTCCTTTCAGTACAGGGCATGAGAAGTCTTACAGAGAACCTAAATGAAGGAAAAGGAGTTAGAGGAGTTGCAGAGTAAGGAGAGTTAAAAAATAAAAAAGGTAAGGAACTATAAAAGCTGTAAAAAGACGACGGATCTCTGGCTAAGCACATCAGAACTCAAACCATAGATAGTCACGTCAGGTTGTTGACAGTATTTCAGGCTTTGCTGGACATAAGGATTTGGGCTGAATCCAGCAATGTCTACTTGAGAGAAAAAAGATAAGAATATCAATTAAACACTTCGAAATTTGTCATCGAGACTGAAATGTGCTTCTTAACTTTGAGGGAAGAATGAAAAAAAAGCACCTCCAAAAGGCATTTAATGCCTTTTTTTTTTTTTTTCAGACAAAGTGTTGTCTGTGAAATTTCCAGGTGGAATACTTTTTTAAGAAAGGCAAATTTGAATAGGAGTTGCAGGAAGAAGTTTGTGCCAATGCAGTCTGCAGCCTTGGACATGCCAAGGACTGTGTGTTGAGTGTGTGAGGGGCAGAAGAGTTGCTGTGACCTGTGCTTATCTCAGGAGAACACCTTCAAGCAATGCTGAAGTGGCTGTGCCTACTTTAGGACATAAAACATGCAACTCGCCTTCTGTGGAGCTGGCATGCTGTGACAAGTGGCCATTTCACTTCTCAGAGTTGCCCCTCTGTTCCTTTATGATCCTCATGACTGTGTTTTCTGTATATTGGTTGTCTCTCTTGGTGTGCTTACTTTGTGAGTTCTTCGAGGTGGGGACACTCATGAAAGCCAGAAGGCAGATCCTAATCTCAATAAGAGAATGAAACAAAGACCTCATAAGAGCATCACTTTGGTCAGAGCTTTAAGAAGATTAAGAATAAATATGCAGTTCTACTCTGAGGAGCTACTGGCAAAATTAGCTCAAGGAACAGAAGAAATACCTTGTGTACTGCCTTTTATTGAAGTCTGGATAGAATTTGCTTATATTTCTTTGCAGTTTTGGTTTAGGGAAAATTACAAATTTCCTTCTGTTAGGCATCAATACTGTCAGGATGTGTTGAGATTATGATACATTCACAGGCACGTT